CACACACACACACACACACACACACACACACACACACACACACACACACACACACACATACACACCTGCCTCTGGACAGGGTGACCTTGGATGCTGTGTGTGGAAGGAAGGCGGAGCAAAAGAGGACATTACACTGATGAGAGGAGAGGAGAATGTGGGGGATCAGCAGGGGTGAGAGGGAGGAGAAGTTCAAGGAGGAAAAAAAAAGCATGGGCAGTGGAGGTTAGAGTGGACAGGGGAGGAGGAGAGAAGGTGAAGGGGAGGGGAGGGACAGCAGGAGCAGGGAGACGAGAGACGGCATGAGGCAAAGGAGGGGGGGGGGGGGGAGATGAGAGGCGGAGAGAGGGAGTGGAGGGAGGGAGTGGAGAATCTGTTTCTGGGACGGCCATGGCAGTGAAAATGCTGCAGTGAAGCCACACGGCTGAACCAGTCCAGAACACAGCCACACTCAGAGACCTTCCTTCCACCTCTCTCCTCATCTCAAACCGCCATCTCTATCCCACCCACCACTTTCACCTCCCACTCTGATTAACCTTCCTCCCAACCTACACTTCCACCTGCTCTACCAGCCCCCCTTTCCACCCTCCCCCTTCCATTCCCCTCCCTTCCCTCCCTCTTTTTGCACCAGCCGATGAGTGAGCAGATTTTTAGAAAGAATCCTGAGTGGAGGAGGACATGCGTGGTGGGCCTCTCTCGCTCTCTACCTATGCTTTTCATCTGTTCTTCCTTTTTCTTCATTCCCCCGTGTGTGCTATTTTCTCTGTTCTTGTTTTTTTTGCTGCCTTTTAAAAATGTTGCATGTTTGCAACTGTCTGTCCTTGTGTTTGCATGGCTGTCCTCTCTTTTCGCCTTTTTTCTCCCAGTGGTTTGTGCTCCTGTGTGTGCATCCATCCATCTCTCAGTGGGGAACAGAGACCATCAAAGAGGTGAGTCCTGTCTAAAGTTAAGAGCTGGTCTGCAGCACGAACAGATTCACACACAAGCACGTATGTGTGAGTTGTAAGTATCAGATGTCAGTGATGATATGTAAGGGAACTCACGCAGAACATGCAGCTGGACTCAGAGGAGGTTCTGTATTTGAGTTTGCAGCCTCATAATGTGTCGTTGTGCAGCTTTGTAATTTGAAGTTGTGCGTAAGGAGGGTGTTTATAAACTGGTGATGATTTGTTGAAGACGGTTCCTTGGTGTGGAAAGTGTTGTCTGTGGGCTATGCTTGTGTGTGTGCATGTTGCTGTGCATGCTATGGAACTGTGACTACTTGGTCTCTTTTGTGTCTTCCTGTTCCTCCAAGTGTATTATTACCATGCAGCTGTCAGGCTTAACATATCCACAGCAAACTTTCATTTATTTTTCTAATCT